GCAAGTCTCTTTACATTTTGTCAAGTCGAGTCTAAAGTCATCAAATTGATGACTCGAGTCTGACTCGAGTCCAAGTCATGCGACTCGAGTCCACACCTCTGGTATTCAGACCCTTTGCTGTGACACTCATATTTTAACTCGGGTACTGTCCAGTTCATCCGATCATCCTTGAGATGGTTCTACACCTTCATTGGAGTCCAGCTGTGTTACGTGATTATACGGATTAGACTTGATTAGGAAAGCCACAGACCTGTCTATATAAGACCTTACAGCTCACAGTGCATGTCAGAGAAAATGAGAATCATGAGGTTGAAGGGACTGCCCAAGGAGCTCAGAGACAGAATTGTGGCAAGGCACAGATCTGGCTAAGGTTACGAAAAATATTCTGCTAAACTTAAGGTTCCTAAGAGCACAGTGGCCTCCATAATCCTTAAATGGAAGACGATCAGAACCCTTCCTAGAGCTGGCTGTCCAGCCAAACTGAGCAATCGGAGAAGAAGAAAGAACTCAAAGATCACTGTGGCTGAGCTCCAGAGATGCATGAAGTTGTAGAAAGTCAACCATCACTGCAGCCCTCCACCAGTCGGGGCTTTAAGACACATGAAAGCCAGCATGGAATTTGCTAAAAAACACCTGTAGAACTCCAAGATATAGATTCTATATATAGAAATAAGATTCTCTGGTCTGATGAGACTAAGAACGTTTTGGCCACTCTAAGCGGTATGTGTGGAGAAAACCAGGCACTGTTCATCACCTGTCCAATACAGTCCCAACAGTGAAGCATGGTGGTGGCAGCATCATGCTGTGGGGGTGTTTTTCAGCTGCAGGGACAGGACGACTGGTTGCAAATGAAGGAAAGATGAATGCGGCCAAGTACAGGGATATACTGGACGATAACCCTCTCCAGAGTGCTGAGGACCTCAGAGTGGGCCGAAGGTTCAACTTCCAACAAGTCAATGACCCTAAGCACACAGCTAAAATAACACAGGAGTGGCTTCACAACAGCTCTGTGACCGTTCCTGACAGTCAAAGCCCTGACCTAAACCCAATTGAGCATCTCTGGAGGGACCTGAAAATGGCTGTCCACCAACGTTCACCATCCAACCTGACAGAACTGGAGAGGATCTGTAAGGAAGAATGGCAGAGGATCCCCAAATCCAAGTGTGAAAAACTGGTTGCATTCCTAAAAAGACTCATGACTGTATTAGCTCAAAACGGTGCTTCTACTAAATACTGAGCAAAGGGTCTGAATACTTATGACCATGTGATATATTTTAGTTTTCACTTTTTTAAAACATCTGCAAAGATGTCAACAATTTTGTGTTTTTCTGTCAATATGGGGTGCTATGTGTACATTAATAAGGAAAAAAAATAAACTTAAATGATTTTAGCAAAGAGCTGCAATATAACAAAGACTGAAAAATTTAAGGGGGTCTGAATACTATATATATATATATATAGTGTGTACTGTATTTGTGTGTATATCTCTCACTGCTGTGCATGCCAACAAAAGTTTCTCTACCAAAGTAATGTTTTTACTTGGCGATCAAATAATTATTTCACTCAATGATTTTCATAACTACTGCGTGATCTTTTTTTTCATTGTTGATATTATGTTTCTTGCCATTAAAAAAAATGAAACCATAAAATTAGAGACCATTCATTTCTTAGTAAGCAAGCAGATGTACAGATTGAACAAAGTTTTAAAATATTTGTTACAAATTTGTTCTCAAATTGTAAGACGCTTTTGGATAAAAGCATATAAGCTAAATGTATTGTAATGTAATGCAGTACTTCTCAAATACTGGGGTGGGCACAGTGAGGTACGGGGGGGGCGTGAGTGGCTTCCAATGGAATACGGCACACTGGACATAAGTGTACCACTGCTGTGACGCTTGAATGATAATAAGCCTCCAGTCACTGGGTGGCAGCGACTTATACAGTGGTTTGCACGGATAAAAATATACATGTTATCAGGTTCTCAGTAGTATTTTAATTCGTGGAGGTGTTGATTGCGGGAAGGGGGCTGGGGGTGGGTCGTGAAAACATTTCTGTCCCCAAGAGGGGGCATGACAGATATTAAATTGAGAACCACTGGTGTAATGTAATGTAATAATACTTCGACCTTTGAGTTAATGGGTCAAAAAAGGCAAATGCATTAAAGTTGTATATTAGCATGTCTTGTGTAGTTTTTTTGAAAATAGTAGAGGAATTCTGCAGAGAAATAACAAATGAATCTCACCTCCTCATCCTCACATGAATCTGGCTCATACAGTATGGCATTCTGAAGCTGCAACACAGGAGATGCACAGTCTGTAACCTTATCAAATCTCATACATATAGGTACTAAATGCAGTGTGTAACTCATCAGATTGGCTCACCTCTTGTAGTTCAGCAAACTGCTCACTGCACAGGCGCAGCAAATCCAACCTAGCAGCTTCAGACAGCTCTGCTGTAGCTTGTGAATCTGTCTTCCCCTCAGCCTAGGAAAAAAAAAAAGTAAAACTAAATTATTTTAGCCTATATAATACAGCTTTGTGTGCACAGTAAACAAAAGGCATATAATTAGGGAGTCACATATATTTAATCTGACCAGATAGACACCAAGAACATTCAAACTGTGATTGCTCTAGTTTATCATCCAGTGTCGTAGGAGCAAAGGCATTTTAAAGGGGAGAAATAAAAATTCACAAACATTACGATTCAAGTGAACTTATACACACTTTGCCAAGGAGCAAATAGTAAATAGTGCTAAAAAAAGAGATACGTATGTTTTACAATTTAAATGAAATTTCAAACTAGTTAGAAATGTATGACTTATAATGTTTAGCCTTTTAGCCCTTTTCACTATCAGAGAGACTATCAGAGACCACAGTCCGCAGCTATTTTTTTTTAGCAAACCTGTTATTCACATCATTAGTTTGTATAGAAAAAAGATCGTTGTGATAAAAATACGGACGTCCCAGCCAAAAAAAGGACAGTTGGAAACTTTGGGATATATGCACAAGATCATTACTTGAGCACTATCTTCTGCTATTATTTAAAGAATAGCTTTCAGCTTATAATATATTTAGACAAATGATCGCAGTGTTACCATTAGTATTTTATATAGTAATTCAGATTTAATCCAATGTATTATTGCCATCAATTTCAAATCTCCTCAAATGGGTTATATGTATTTCTCGATTTTTTTTTAGATAGCTAACACACAGATGCAGACAAAAGAGCAAACACTGGGTCAACAAATATAAAGCACGCAATAAAACGCAACGTTTAATCACGTCTCATCTTTACTCACCATACTGTTTCGTTCACTGACCGTTTGTTCACTTCCTACTTACCGCCAAACTGTTTTGTTGTCAACATTGATGACGTAACGTCGGCGACGGCATAGAGTGCTGAAGAGCGCAACTGTTGCGCAAAACTACGCAAATAAACGGATTAACTACATTGTTGTTCATCAGATAAACAAGTACGCCAATAAACATTGATTGATACTCATCCATTGGTAATATAATTATTTATAATGAACGATTCCATGATTTAATTAATAAAACCCCACTCTATATTTTACAGCTGTAACCATCTAGTTAAAAACTAGATTGAGAGTTTAAGATTTTAGATACAACAGTGAAAACAATAAATGTGTGTAGCTACTTTCTGTTCACAAAGCCCATTAGAAACAGGTCTAGGGATGTATGTTTACCTTAGAAGATATTTTATTTGAAAGCTGTCATATGACGCAGTGTAGTGTACAGGAGCCTGGTCGGTTGTGCAGGTGTAGCTGCGCACCGATACGGACAGTGTGGTCAAATACGCTTCATATTTTTTCATATATATTCAGACTTTTTGTATATATATTCAGACATTTTTGTATATATATTCAGACATTTTTGTATATATATTCAGACATTTTTGTATATATATTCAGACTTTGTGCAGAAAGTCTGAAGAAATTGGAAGCGTATTTGACCACACCACACTTAACGGGACAGGTTTTTTTTTATTCTTCTATGATTCCCCTAACGTCTCCAAAGAGTTTTTGGAAAAAACTACATTCTCTTATATCCAAATTTATTTGGAATGGGAAGAGACCACAATTAACACTGACAACCCTCCAGCCGGATAGGACGCAGGGTAGATTGGTGCTACCAAACTTGAACATATTCTGTGTATGGTACAATTCCAAGGCCCCTCTCTCCTGGAAACAAATTGAAGAGTATCTCATTCAGCCTTAGCTTCAAGTTTGTTTCATTTGAACATTCCAAACTATGTGGAAAAAAGAGCTGGTCCGACATCAAGGTGGACGTTAAGGGCATCACATATGATTTGCACAGTGATGGAATGGACATCGTTACGGTTAACAAAAACAAATTCATCATGTGATGGTTCTTTCATTGTGTATGCAGTCAACAGCTCCGATCACACAAAGGAAACCACTTTAATGTGAGCCTGTTCAACTGCATTGTATGGGAATATGATTTACATGGATGCCATTTAGTTGATTCCATTCCACACAGCTGGCATGGCCAACCGCAGAGTTGACTGGCAGACTTCGGACCGATCGGCTGGCTCCGCTGAAATGCAGCTGTTGCCAGGACCCCCAGAAGGGATTAGCACCTGTGTGGGTGCTCCTCGCCGTGTTGCACTCAAGGGCAGGCCACAGCTCTGCGCACAAGTCCAGTAACAATGGCCTTGGTAAACAAAACCACCTTATCAGCCAATTAGCGTTCTCCAATAAATCCTCGAGTTCCCGAAATACACACTCCGGTCTATTTGCACCATTTGCGAGATCTTCTAACAACACTAACGCTGCCATTGTTAATACCATTTTCGTCACGCTTTTATATCCACCCATATAATTGCATGTGGGTGTGTTACATGTTCATAGGTGTGTCTCGATGTTCTTCTGATGACTACTAGTTTTTAGATTATTGGCAGTTTCCCAGCATTACCTCTAAGTGTGGCCAAGGGCACAACACCTGTAGGAATGTGTGTACACCAGCTCTGGAGCTGTCGAAACGCACATTTTTACGCTCGTTTCAGTTTGTATACATCTGAATGTGAGCGACCTACCCAACTCTTTTGTCTGTTAGTATACACAAAAACGTTCATGACATACATGACGCCCCTGGTGTATTTTAATATACCACCTAAAGTAGCTAAATCACATCAAATAATTTTCTATTTGCTCTGAACTTGCCACACTAATGAATCATACACATGTAGATCTCTCTCTGAACATCACCTACCTGGTTCATTATTTTTTGAATATTTGAAAATTAGATTTGCCATGAAAACATATCGTGCCCTATGGGCTATAGCACTTCTAGCCCATCCATTGTCTAAACCAGTGGTTCTCAAACTTTTTACCACCTTACAGTCACAAATCTCCTTCCGATAACCTCTTCTACATAGAATATAATCTATATAATCTATATATAATCTAGG